ATTTTCATTTTTGGTGAACTATCCCTTTAATTCTCAATTAGTTTTATCCTGGTTAAATGAAGATGATCAACTAACCAGCTCTATTGCAAGTGTCAGCATCTGTCCTCTCTCTATACAGTGTGGCAGGTGGGGAGCTCTTTGACTTTCTAGCTGAGAAAGAGTCATTGAGTGAAGAGGAGGCCACCGAGTTCCTCAAGCAGATCTTGGATGGAGTCAGTTACCTACACTCCAAACAGATTGCCCACTTTGACCTGAAGGTACTGAGACATGTTTGAGTTTCACCCCAATGGCAGACTGTGGCGATTAGCATCGCCGTGGACCAGCCACAACAAATCAGTTGAGGTGCTTTTATCTTCCTTGCTGGTTATCCACTTATTTCCACCCTTTACATAATTGCTGGGCATCCCAGAGCTGGGATGGTCATAAATTCAGTCCCTGTAATTTTTGACAGGTTTTATTGCAGAATCGCATTAATATTTTAGTAGTCTTTGTTTTGAAAGTTTCAGATGTAGATTGAGTTTTTACCTCCCACTAAAACCACTTAACCTGAATAACCAGTCTAACTGAAAAATGAACTTCAAAGCAGCCGACATTCACATTAACCAACTTAACTGAGACCTAAAGAATAAAATAAAATAGTCAAGCTGTCACAGAGTTGCTCATTATTAGCATTTTATTTCGAAACATTCATGTTACTCTAGCAACGGCGTTTAAGTAATTAGATCCACTGCTTTCAGAGCAGTCATCCACACAGCTTTCCCTAACATTTCTGTTAAATATTTTGAAGTCATTGGAGCTTTTAAGAGATTAGTCCATGCATGAATAAAGCCCACTGAAGGAAGTATTGTTTCTATGGAATGTCCAGGCAGGGATCTGTTACTGACTGGCTTGAGTATGCCTGTGCTTTCTAGTGAACGTTTCTGTAGCTTTGCATGTGATTTCCATGTGTTATGGCAGATTTCCTGCTCTCTCTCTCTCACTCCTGCTGTGTTTTTGTTCTGCACCTATCATTAGTTCCTCTGATTCTCTCTTTTGCATTCTCCCTCCAATTCTTTCTCTGTTCTCATCTCTCTCAGCCGGAGAACATCATGCTGTTGAAACGGAGTGTGCCTCACCCGCGCATTAAGCTCATTGACTTTGGCTTGGCCCACAAGATCGATTTTGGCAACGATTTCAAAAACATCTTTGGTACCCCAGAGTTTGTAGGTCAGTGTCATCCGCTGGTCAGTCTATAGAGATGTGTTGTAATTACACCCGCTATTATTGTTATGGTCCTCTGTCCGATCCTCTCTTTTCTTCTTTCATGTGTAATCTGAACCACAAGCCTGACATAACTGTAAAGAAACACCATGGATCACTGCTTTGTGAGCCAATGAATCCTGCATGAATTGTAAACATGTAAACATGAATTTTATATACTAATAATACATTTTTACTTTAAATAAAATTATAATATAGTAATTACTTACAATCATGTAAATTTGGATAAGCGAATTGTATAGTACAAATACAATTATATAATAATTATATACATATATTGTTTTATATTTGTTTTTGTTTTTATGTTATTATTAATAAATATTTGTATATTATTTTTATATCTTTGTTACTATTTTACATATTGTTATCTATTTTACATATTTTTAAAAATTAGACCCCTAAACAATGAAAACAATACAATTGGAATCAAATAGAAACTAAAAATGTTAAGCAAATCAAAACTTAACTAATGTTTTAGCTTCTTTAAAGTAGGAAGAGGCATCCTGGGTTTTTCAATTTTTTTAAAAGAAATGCACATGTTCACTTGGCAGTTTTGTAAAGAAATTCATGGCATAGACATGCATTTTCTTGTGTTTAAGCATAGGCTTTTAAATCAACAGGTTTTTAACAGAAACTTTATTTCAGTCAAGTGTGCCCCGTCTTTAAATGGTATTGTATGTTGATGTGTTTGGGTTGGTGTTTTGAGCAGAACTACAAAACAACCTTCCTTAAATCTTACTGCTTTTTCTTAACAATATGAGACAGCTCTGCTGTTTTCGGTCACATTTTACATGAACAAGCCCCCAGCCATCCCAGAAAGCACACAGACATGCACACCCACATCACCCCCATCCCTCTATGCCATTGGCATCACATCCAGTCCTACCTGAATGGCAGCCAGTGTGGCTGCAGGCAGTGATGATACAGCAGTCTTAATAGAGACACAATGCTAAAGGCCACAGTCAAGCATCAGCTACCCCACAGTGTAGTCTATTTCAGTGCTCAAAGTTACGATCAGGCTTCATGGAGGAGAATCCGGTCAAGCTAGACACCTGGTTTTAAAGATACTAATCCAATCCAATACTAAAATACTATTAGCCCATTACTGAGGCATGACTTCATTGATTTTTTTTTTTTAACCTTGGGGTTAAGGAGCAGCTTGCTTCCTCCTAACCCTGGTCAATGACCAGATCTAGTGCATAATAATATAAGTAGTAAATCAAGGTCAATTCTCAGGCATAGAGAGCAGCAGCATCTCTCCCACCTCAGACTTATTCCCTCATTTTCTCATTAACACATCAGAGATTGAGATCCTCTGAAAATAGTGACTAATTTCACAGCTCATACGGTGAGAAACCACCAAATATACTACCGTTGACTTAGCATTTCTAGACATTTTGCAGGCATTTTCTAATGTTAGGGAGAGTGGGGTAGGTTTTTGCTCCCTTCCTCTTGCAAACTGCATTATTTTTAGAAAGAGTTTATCATTTAGCTGCCATATATAACTTTGAGAGATGCATGCAAGTTATAAGCATTGTTTTAATGCTTAAATAGTATTTGATTCTCTTTTCTCAATGCTAAGACGACAAATTAAGTAAAATATGCCACAGCTTACCCCAAACTCTTCTGTATTGTAAGTAGGGATGTTCATTTTAACCGGTTAACCGACCGTAAGAATTTTTAACCGATTAATACAATCAGTTACATATAAAAACGACAAGCCAAAATGAATTAATTTAGGCTAAAACGAAACTGAAACCAACGTTGGGTCTCTCATTCGACACAAAATCAAATGTTTCCGTATTCGTGATGCATTTGAATAGCAAATTATTATTTATTATGTAGCCTACTTCACTCGCATTCCAATATCCACGTACAACAAAATGTTTTGCATAACATCATGGCGGTACTGTGATAACACTGAGCACAGATTTTACTACATATTTTTTTTTACTACATAGCTTTTTTTTTTCCATATGTTTGACTGACTGTATTTTATTATGATAATGAACAGGCTGCATTGTCCAGGTGTGCGCGCATGCGGCGGCGGCGGCGCAATCACTTGAATTTTTTCCTTCTAACAGTGGAAGCAACTACGCCTACTCCTTTTAGTCAAAGATAATCGGAATTGTAAAAGGTTTGCCTTTATTTGTGTAAATTCACATTCAATAAAAACAAATCTTTGTGCTTTTGTAAAATAAACCTAAAGAAAAATAGGATGCCGCTTTCTGCCGTCTGTTTCCTTTCACGCAGCACAAAAAATGAATCGAAGCTCTGCATACTAGGCTACTTGTTCCACAGTTTTTCTTCCATTTTCTTAATTTATTATTTAAGTAAAAATATGTTTCTAATGTAGGCCTATTTATTCGTTATATATATATATATATATAGCCTTGCTTTATTATGTTTTTCTCCGCTCGCAGAAGCGCTGCAGGTGCGTGATATGATATGATGACCATGTGAATCCTCATGTTCTGTTGTTTGCGGCTTTTTGCGCATGTAAAATTAATCCCCGGGAAACAAATGTTAGTATTTTTAACGGGTCACAGACACTTATCCTTTCTAATTTAATTCAATTCTAATTTAAAATAATCTTGTCGGTTAATGGTTAACAATCGGTTAAAGAACGTCGGTTGTCGGTTAGGAAAAATAACCGAAATGAACATTCCTAATTGTAAGACCGTATTGTAAGTGATTTTATTTTGTGGTTTGCAGCTCCTGAAGTGGTAAACTACGAGCCGCTTGGCCTGGAGGCAGACATGTGGTGAGAATGAGCATTATATCATTATCTGACCTCGCTGTTACCTCACTTCCTTTGCTAATCATGTGTTTTTATTTCTGTCTAACTCTAGGAGCATTGGGGTGATCACTTATATTCTGTAAGTATTCATAATCATCAGTGTTGTTGTGATGTTGTAAATATAGTTTATATCATTACAAATGAAATCTAAATGCATTTATGGATTTTCACTTAGGCTGTAAATAGCATCCATTTTCGTAATTGCATTATTTTTCTCAAAGCATAGCTGTAATCACATTCTGCAGTAAAACGAAGGCATGGCGAACAAATATAGCTGAATATGAAGCCAATGAAGTTGAACTAAGTGTTTTCCAGACATCTAGTATCATAGAATAAACTCTCGTTGTGCAACAGCTGTCATAATGATTGATGTTTGAAGTAAAAGGATGCTTAGTAAGCCGAGTGCTGCATCAGACATTGATGTTCTGCATAGAGAATGCATTGAGTTCTGGTCAATTGCAATTCCCTACTTTAGAAGCATTCCTACAATATAATAATCTAATTGGATTAGCAGCGTAGAACGGGCAAAGATTCGAAAGGGAGCAGAGAAAAGATGAGCATTTGGGGAGAGAAATCAGTGTTTCAAGGATGCTTAGTAAGCTGAGTGCTGCATCAGACATTGATGTTCTGCATAGAGAATGCATTGAGTTCTGGTCAATTGCAATTCCCTACTTTAGAAGCATTCCTACAATATAATAATCTAATTGGATTAGCAGCGTAGAACGGGCAAAGATTCGAAAGGGAGCAGAGAAAAGATGAGCATTTGGGGAGAGAAATCAGTGTTTCTGAGGAAAAAAAATAGAAAGATTCAAGCACTTGAAAAGACTAAAAGAGCTCTTTCCACAGAAGTTCTTGTGATGCCAGTATCACATTAAAAATACCAAGCACTGTAGTGTTTTACTGCCATATAAAAATAGAGCAAGACATGGAATTTATAACCCAGTCCATCAATGTGATGGATAATGATTATTAGCGCAACCTCTGGGTGCAGCGTCTAATTGTAAAGCTTGTGTTGGTCTTCCTGTGGAAACATTGAGGTTTCTCTCTGTCTCTGTCTATATGTGTGTGTTTTGTTAATGTGAGAGGGAACTAAGCATATCACAGAGCAATATAAACAATGGAACTTGCCTGTTGCTTGTGATAAGACCTGTGGGGACCCTCCTTTTTGATGGGAACCAAATCCTCATGACTCTGACGTAAACAGTAAAAGGGTGCATCTCACGAAAACTGGAAATATCCAGCTCATATTTCACCCTATGCTCAAAAGAGGGGCAAAAAAATAAATTTCATCACATAAAGAACTAGGGGTGCTCCGATCAGAATTTTTGAGGCCATTCACCGATCGCCGATCACAGAAATCTGTATCTGCCGATTAGTGGTCGACCGATATTGTTTTTTTGACAGCCATATCTTGGAAAGCAGTGTGGCCGATGGCCAATATAAAAGCTGATATAATTGTATTTATTTTATTTAAGAAATTTGAAATCATTTGTAAATGAATTATAAAATAAATGTGTAAAATAAACATACTTATACTTTAGATGGCAAAGTATTTTTCACAAATAAATACAAATATAATTAAAAAGGAAGTAAACACTGTAACCAACAGGGCACTCGGTAATCAGGGAAGTTTGTGTGCATTGGGAATCATATTTTTTTTCAAATAAAGACAATGTAACACTCATTTTGCATACAGCACACAGTGAAAATGACATGAATAGGACAGTGGGCAAATGGATAAAGCGCAACATAATTTGAAATCAGGAGTTTAAAGTGTGTCGATCGCGCATCTGCAGTGAAGCTGAACTCTCCTCCTGTCACACGGAGTACACACGATCATGCAGGATACAAATGTCACAAATAAATAAATATTTAATAAAAATCGAATTAAAAAGGAAGTAAACACTGTAACCAGCAGGGCACCAGTATTCTGGGAAGTGTGTGTGCATTGGGAATCTTTTATTTTTATTTTTTAAATAAAGACAATGTAACACTCATTTTAATTACAGCACACAGTGAAAATGACATGAATAGGACAGTGGGCAAATGGATAAAGCGCAACATAATTTGAAATCAGGAGTTTAAAGTGTGTCGATCGCGCATCTGCAGTGAAGCTGAACTCTCCTCCTGTCACACGGAGTACACACGATCATGCAGGATACAAATGCACACTTCACAAGATCTCACGTTGGATGCAAGGTTTGTGAAATGTTATGTTCATTAGACATTAAAGATTTGTTTAACAATATAAATGCTAATATATATAATATATATATATTAGCACATATAGATATATTTAAACATATATAATAATATATATATAAATAGATATATTTGCTGAATGCTGACAGTAAATGAGAAATTATTATAATGTTTGCCTTTCTATTACTAATAATATAAAAGCAATCGTTATAATACTTTTTTGAATACATTTTAATTCCTTTGTTTAACAGTTCTATCTGATTATTAGATAGACTTCTATCCGTATTAGA